GCGGCGCCTCCCAAGGCCAAACGAAAGTTCGTTCTGAACCAAATCCGATGGAATTTTTTATCTGTAGTATGTACTTATCGGGGACGCCCAGGTCTAGCTGCTTGTTTTCGCCTTGTGCTATTATCGATGATGAACTTGAGGTGACCTCGAAAACTGCGCAACAGTGAGCGCGGGTGTGACGAAGACGAGTGTACGACAGAGAACGAGAGAGTATGGGATGACAGGGGGGCTAGGAACGGGCCAGACAGGGGAAGGAGAGCCAGAAAGAGAGACAGAGAGAAAGAAAGAGAGAGGGAGAGAGGGAGGCGTTTACACTTTCGCTCTATATCATTTGCTGTCATGGCTCGGATCTTTTTTTTTTTCTGCAACACTTTCCAAAACGATACGCTTCTTCCGACAAATTTCTCCGTCTCTCGACCGATCGTCGGATCGAACTCATCGCATCTCTCGGATGCATCTCTGACCTTTCCCTCGGTAAATTCGACATTGACTTTTTGCAAATTCGCGCGAGTTACGTAAGAGGGGAGAGGAAGGCGAAGAACCGGTTACACGGTCGACGACAGACTCGCAGGACGAATTTTCATCCGAGTATTTGTTCGCGGGGGGGGGGAATTGAAAATTCGGCGAAACTCGTTTACGTATCGTGACGACTCTCGCGATCTGTGGCAGAGGCGTAACACCACGGTTCGAAGACAAGGTGAAGGTCTACTTGGTCGCGGTGCTTAATTCATTGAGACACTTTAGTTTCGTGCCTCGCCGCTAGTGCCCAGCAGCGTGCGAGAACGTATCTCGCGAAGAAATTGGCTTGGTGCGTTCGTGCCGCCTCCTCTCCGCCGGCTCTCCTCTTATCGGTACCGAGTTCGATCAACGTTCCGTGCAATTCGTCGCGTTGTAGAAAGACGCGGCTGTGCTCTCTCTATATAGAAACTAGATCGCGGCGTAAAGGAATATCTCTTCTGTCTGTTCGATGAATTTCCTAAATTCTACAGAGATGTGAAATTTTCCGACGACGTCCCATTAACTGGCGCGAGATGATGCGTTCCTTCGTCCTTTTCGTTCACGTAGAAGAAGTTCGCTTCTCCGTGACTAAATAGGATCCGATATCCGAAAAGACTTATCGTTTGATCGCACTGATTTCGTGAAACGCGCAACCGCATCGGATGAAAAAAGGGCCGCGGTCGAGGAGAGGGTAGTTCTTCCTGGCGGCCTCCTCGCTTCGCAGCCCCCGTCTTCGTCCCCACCACTGTCCACGTAACTCTTTCAAAAGTTCGTAAGACTCGCGTAACCAATCCGGAAGCTACTTAGATTTTTCTCTCCCCGCCGATCCCTCGGCCCTATCCTCCTTCACCTTTCTCTCTCTCCTCTTTACAACCCCTTGGCCCTCCCTTAGTCGTAGTATATTCTCTCTTTCTCCCTCTCTCTCTCTCTCTTTCCCTGTTTCTCATAGTCGCGGTGGTAGCGAGCTATCGATCGCCGTGGCTCTCCGCGCTTAGAGTCAACATCAGTCATAATACAGCGCAACGGCATACGGGGGTTATTAAGAATAATACGCATCCTAGGTATATATCCCCTTCCCGGCACCACGGAAAAACGGGGGAAGGAGCGTCGTACGTGGGGGGTTCCGTTGCTAGGGTAACCGGCTGGGTAAAATCCCGCAAAGAAGAAGCATCGCCGTTATGTTCCTGCTCCTGCTCTTACTCTTACTCTTACTCCTATTAGATTTTTCTCCCCCCGCCGATCCCTCGGCCCTATCCTCCTTCACCTTTCTCTCTCTCCTC